CCTATCTGATTGCATTAGCTAGGACTTCTAGTACCATGGTAACTATGAGCATTAACATCCTTGACTTGCTCCTGATCCTAGTGGATAAGCTTCTAGTTTCTCAGCATTATGATAATTATCCCATTTATATTTTTGTAGATGTATCTTATCAAGTGAAGGAAGTTCCCTTCTAATGCTAGTTTCCCTATTTTTAATTATAAATGAGTATAGGAATACTTCCAATGCTTTTTTTACAGCTACCAATGTGATCATGAATTTTTATTCTTGGCCTGTTGATTGAATGGGTTACATCAAGTAATTTTCAAGTGTTGGACCAGAATTTACACCTAGAATAAAATGTGTTTGGTCACAATGCATAGTTCTTTTTATGTATTGTCATATTTGTTGCACTAATTTTTGTGTTTGTCTGTGTGTACCATGAGTGTGTGTGTGTGTGTGTGTGTGTGTGTGTGTATGTGTGTGTTGGTTCTAGGGCTTGAAACTCAAGGCCTGGGAGCTGTCCCTGAACTTTGTAGCTAGTGTTCTACAACTTGAGCCACAATTCCACTTTTAACTTCTTGGACTTTCCTTCCCCAGGCTGTCTCTGAACTGTGATGATCAGATTTTGGCCTCCTGAATAGCTAGGATTACAGGTGTGAGCCACTGACACCTGGCTCCCTTAACTTTCTTGCTCAACACTAATATTCTACCCCTTTAGCCATAGGTCTACTTTGGGCTTATATCTTTGAGGGGTGTTAATTGGAGATAAGAATCTCTTAAACTTTCCTGTCAGAGCTGGCATCAAATCAGAATCCTCAAGCTGGCACAAGCCTGTAATCCTATAACTATTCAGGAGGCTAAGCTCTGAGGTTAGAGAGGTAACCTACTGGCACCCAATGCTTGATCTCTCTTAATGTAAATTTTCAAAATAAATTTCCTCCATAATCCATGACTATCCCAAACTGATTTGCTGTTAGCTTTCTTTTTTTTGTTGGTCATGGGTCTTGAACTCTGGACCTGGGCACTATCCTTGTGCTCTTCAGTTTAAGGCTAGTGCTCTACCACTTGAGCCACAGTGCCACTTCCTCTAATTTTAATATATTGTATTTTCATTTTTAGTTAGTTCCATGTATTTTTAAATTTTTCTTTGAAATTTCTTTGATCCATGAGTTAATGTTCTAAAATTTCTGAGTGTTAAAGATATTTCTGTTGTTCTGTTCCTAATTTCTAGTTTGGTTCCATTGTAGTTGGGTAACATATAATGTAATGTCAATTCTTTGTCCTGCATATCATCTGCTCTATGAATGATATGGGGGTAATTGAAGACCATGTATGTGCCACTGTCTTATATATAACATACATTGTATTGTTCAAATTTTCCTATAGCATCACTCATCCTTTTTTTCTTTTCTACTTTCTGAAACCCCATGATTCTTACTTTTACCATATCAATTCTGTTTAAAGAATTGATTTAGCCATTCTCTCTGGGTACTCTGATAGCAACAGATTCTTTTAAAATTTCTTAGTGTAAGGATGCTTTTCATCCATGATGGGCAGCTTCACTGGATATACAATGTGAAAGTCTCTCTCTCATTTAAGGCAAGATCTCACACTATAGCTCAGGCTGGCCTTGAATTCACTATATAGCCCAAACTGACCTCAAATTCTCTATCCTACTACCTAAACTGCCATCAGCTGGGATGTGAGCCACCACACCTGCCTTTAATAATCCTTGCCTTTCATCCCTTGAAAAATATGCCATTTCACTTCCAGCTTCCAGAGTTTCAAAGAGACATTCACTGTCATTCAAATTGATGTTCCCCAAGCAGGTAAAATGTTGTTCTCTTTGGTTCTTTTCAAGATTGTTTTTCTGTCTAGTTCTTAGAATTTAAGTATACCATGACTTGGCTGTTTCTGTATGAAGGGTCATACTATACCAAGTTGCCAAATTACATTTTCATCCCTGCTGTCCCTGTCTAGTCTGCCTTCTTCTTAAATTGTTTCTCTTTCATTATTTCCAGGATCTATTTATCTTCAGGTAGAGATAAATCTGACATGTTGCCCAAACTAGAAGCTTAATTTGTATTTGTGAAATGTCACTGTTCTATGAAGAAAATCAATTTAAGAGCTTAGAGAGAATTTGAGGAAAATAATAAGGAAGAAACCACAACAATCCAGGTAACAAATGCTTGTATTTTAAACTGGAGTGTTAATGATAGAAATGAAAACAAATAAGTTAAAAGTATTTTGGAAAGATGGCAAATAAGACTCATTGATATAATGGTGTTGAGAATTTCTGAGTTGAGCAAGTGGATGGTAGTGCCAAGTAAATGGGAAAAAAGTAGCTCCTTACATCTGCATTTGGACTAATTAAACCCAACACAAATTATATTCTCTCAGATTCTGAGCTATTCCTTGATCTGAGCAAGAATTTCCCACTCAGAAAAAAATCATCCTGTCCCATAAGAGCATTAATCTCTTAGATTCACAACTGCACCCAAACTAAGAACCCCTTAGTTTTATGTAATTATGACCACTCATTGACTAGCACCCCAGAGTAGATTTAGTTTTCATTAAACCCAGATTTACAAGCCAAAAGGTTTCTGCTGTTAACTACATTGACTTTGCAATTTGATGCCCTTTTGCCTTCCATTGTTTCTTAGATTTCCTGTAAAGCTTTTGAGAAAGCCACCACCCTCATCAAATAAGATGAATGCTAGGTTCTGGCCTGTTTCTCACTCCAACCTTCAACATTATGTGGCAACTGAGCGCCAACCCTGTGGTTTTCTACGGTTGATCTTCAAGAGGTTGCTAAGCACAGAAAATATTAGGAATGCAGGCAAGTTGCAATCAATATGAGTAAGACGGAGAATAGTCAAGATTTTCATGATAAAGGAAAATATAAGTGGTATTTGGAATTCAACAAATGAATACTTGAGTCCCTGCTCAATTCTTAGGTGAGCTCTTACTGTAAAATCATGTAATCTCCATAAGCCTTTGTTTACTCAAATATAAAACAGATAGCACCCCAGACCAATTCAACCAGGAATTAAGAGTGCTTCCCAATGTGTAAATCATCATGCATTCCTGTTATCTTAACTTTTCTAGGTGCCTCATTTTTTCTCCACTAGCCAGGTGATACACTACTAAGGATAGTGAAGTCAGGGTAAGCCACCTTAAGCCACCCCATTGTGTTTTATGTGTGTTGGTACTGGAGCTTGAACTCAGAGCCTTGAGCTCTTACCTGGCTTTTTCACTCAAGGGCGGCCTTCTTCCACTTGAGCAACAGCACCACTTCCAATGTTTTGCTAGTTCACTGGAGATAGACTTTTCTGCTCCGTCTGATTTTAAATCACAATCCTCAAATCTCAGCCTTCTGAGTAGGTAGAATTATAGGCATGAGCCACCAGTGCATGGTCCTACTATACCTCTGAGCTGTGGTCTTTCACCAAAATTTTAGAAAGGCCCAACCTTGCAGGTAACAAAAGAATACTGTGAGGAATCTGAGAGAGTGACTATCTTCTATAGTGCTCCTCAAAGCTGCAAGTTGACCTCTCATTTCCCCACAGTCAAAAAAGGCCAACAGATCTGTGCCCACCTATCCTTGTCTTATGAACAGGTTTGAGTCTGGTTTCAGCCTTTCATCACCCTCTGCCCAATTTTTCTGATATTCACAAAAACTTGTCACCTATGGCATCAATACTCCTTTTCTTTTTTTCTTTAATTAGCATATATTAATTGTCCAAAGTATTTCTATATAAATATATAATATACTTTCAAAATTTTTATTTTGGAGTAGCATACATTGAAAGTGTTAAGGGGCTGCATTCTGATAGTTCAATACATGTACACAAAATATTTTGAATATGTTCAGCCCCTCTATTATATTCTATTACTTCCTCCTTATTTTCAATGTTTGCTGGGTGGGTTTTATTACATTGTCATATAAATAGGACTTTGATTCTCCTTCACCACTCAGTACACTTCCTTTTTGCTCTTATTCCTCCTGCTGAGTCCCCCAGAGACATCCTCTTTTGCATTTCATGTCTCATTATTAGGTATAGGTTCCATATATTGAAGTATTTGGGTTTTCTTGCTTACTAGGATGATTTCCAGTTCCACCTATTTTGTTGGAAATAACATTTTTATTTTCTCTATGGCTGAGCAATATTCCACGCTATATACCAAATTTTCTTTGTTCATTTTACTTTAATCAAATTTGTGCCTTGTTATTTTCTTGTTTTCTTTTTGTATAGTTTTGGCAAGTTTAATTATTGCATTTTCATACATGTACTTCAATCATATTTACCCCCGGCTTTTCCCACCTTCCTTTTCCTTACTGGTTCCCACCCCTTTAAAAATTCCCCTGTTTGACATTCGTGCCATACATTTTATTTTTCAAGTCTAAATTCCACATAAGAAGAAGAAAATACAATTGTCTGAATCTGACTTAACATGATGATCTCCAGTTTCATCCATTTTCTCACTAACATTTTCATTCTTCTTTATGGCTAAAGGATTGTGTATATATCCCACATTTTATCCATTAGGCTGATTGTATATATTGGCTAAATTAGTGGTAATTGCTACTTTCATAGAATATATCAACCACTCTAACTTGGAGAGTTCTTTGGGATAGCTTCCAAAACACAAATCTACAGTATCAACAAAGGACAGCAGACACTTGTGCTTCCTGAAACCTGAGAGTCTTCTGTTTCAATTGCGGAGCTACCTTCCTAAAGCCACAAGGGTCCAAGCTCAAGGCCCTGAGTTCAATCTCCTGTGCAAGAAGAAGGAGTAAGAGGAGAAAGCCACAGAAGGATAATCAAAACTACTAAATTTAGTACTTGTTCTAACAAGGACTTTTTTGTGTTGGTACTGGGACTTGAACTTGTACTCTGACAGCTTTATTCAGTCAAGCTGGTGCTCAATCACTTAAGCTACACATCCACTTTTGGCTTTTTGCTGGTTAACAGGAGGTAAGAGTCTCACAAATTTGTCTGCCTGATCTGGCTTCTAACTGGGATCCTCAGATGTCAGCTTTATAAGTTCCTAGGATTACAGGCATGAGCCACCAGGGCCCAGCTCTAAAAAGCTCTAACAACTTTAATATAAAGAATTTCCTGTCTCAAACATGGGGAGGCCACTCAAAATTCCCTTCATTGCCACCCTGTTTACAGTACTGAATGAGTGGCTTTCTGGAGTATATCTGGATCCACAGGTTGTAGGTAATTATGGCATCAATAACCCTTCCACACAATTCTCCAAAAGAGTCCACTGCCAAAGAAAATAAATCATAATTTGTATTCCCTATTCCTACCCTACCTCCAATTCTCCATCTTCTCATAATCCTTCTTCATAATCCTTAGTTTAGTTATGAGTTAACTTTGTAGCTCATATGACCTTAGTTCAACTTACCTCCATTCTGGAAGGCTGAAAAACCTACTTAATGAGTTTATTTCATAAAGAAGGATCCTTTTCTATGAAATTTCCAGACCTTCCAAGAATTAAAAAATATTATTATAGCTGTTGAAATTTTTTGTGGAGCGTACTATGGGATTTACCTAGTCCTAAGTACTTAAGTATAGCAAAGAAACTAAAGAAAAGTAAAAGCATGTAAATAAATAAATGAAGAAATGCCCAGATAATTTTGATTCCATCCTTGCCCCTCCAACAACTATGCCCTTTTCACAGTAGAGTTAGCTGCTAGTCCACAGCTTCCTGGGATTTGGGGAGTTCAGATGTGCTTCCTGAGGATATGTCCAGACTCTAGTTATTACTGTTTAAGAGACAAAAGCTTGAAGCTATCATCCAGGATGGACCTCCTGTTCCGTCGAAGCTTTCTCTGCCGATGCTGGTACCAGACCATGCCACCTAGAGCCAGAGCAACTAGCAAGAGGATGACACCCATGGCAATCAAAACAGCAATCAGAATCTCGACATCCTTTACAGGGAGCTTCATGCCCAACATTCTCACACTGCCATCTTCAATGTCCCTTAGAATCAGAGCTGAAATAGAATAAGAAGAAAATGGGTACCCATGGATGAGTAATATTCTAAGGGACACTTTTTGCAGTCATTTCTTAAAGGAAAAAGGTTATTCAAATAGTACAGCAAACTGATCCCTAACCTACAAATTACCAGCTGATAAAGACAGGCCCCAAAGATATAGATAATTAGATGCCAGTGGCTTATCTTAGCTACTCAGGAGGCTGAGATCCGAGGATTGTGCTTTGAAGCCAGCCTGATGAGGAAAGTCCATAAAATTCTAATTAAACAGCAAAAAGGCTGAAGTGGAGGTGTGGCTCGAGTGTTAGAACATCAGCTTTCAGTAGAAAAAGTTAAGGATCAGAACCCAGACCCTAAACACAAGCCCCATTATTGGCATCAAAACAACAGCAACAACAAAGATATAACGAATCAGATAAATAAAACATCATAGGTAGAAGGCTCCTTGGGAATCACTGAGGCCACACTGCATCCATGAATTGACCTAAAACCCACAGTAGGAAATCGTTGATATATTTCTACACATATCCACAGGCCTGTGATGGAGATGGTCTGCATGGTTCCTGAATATAAAATTAAGAGGAATAAAGGAAATTCCAGAAAGAAGACTGATTCAATCATCTACCTTGTCAATGCTCATTCTTACCATTAGACCATTATAATAGCCTGCCACTGTGGTGTTCTGGACACATCAATATCATACAGATCTTTCTGGATGATTGTTACTTCCTGCCATACAGACTTTTCATAGTCCCCAACAGACCTACAAAGTAAAGCTCAGAATCTTAAGTCAGACATTCCAGCCCTCACAGTGGGCTCCTAATCTACTTTTCTAGTCTTATCTGTTACTCTTGAGCCACAGAACTCATTCTCTATGAGTCTTTATCATCATAACAATCCTCTGAGGCTTGTCTTTGCTCTGTACTCCTTTACCAGAATATACATTTGTCCTTCTCTTCATCTCTACATGCAGCTTAAATCCTACAGCAAAGTTTTCTTCAATTCATTTGACAATTAATGGTCTGTTTCCCAGAATTCCTGTTCTCCTTGTACTCATACAATTTACTTACTGCGTGACTTAGGCAAAGTGTTCTATCTGGATCTCAGTTTCCTATTTTTAAAAAATGGGAAAAATGATCATAACTTACAGATGATTATTGTCAGATTTTGGTAAAATAATACATATAAAATATTTAGCATGGCACCTGGTAGATAGCAAATGCACAACAAATGTTGGCTCTTATTATTGTTTGCCCTTTCTGTGAATAGCATCCAGCATTGCAATTACTGTTTGTGTCTCATTCCATTTTTAGACACTGGGGAATAGCAACTATGTCTTATTTGTTTTTGTATTATTGGTACTTGACACCTGTTTGATGAGTGTATAATTGGGTGAATGAATGCTCTAACAGAACACAGAAGGTAGAAAGTAATGAGTTTAAACAGAAGCTGTGAAACATCCTGTTCCTGAGTTTACATTCTACCATTTATGCCTCTGTGACCTTGGACAAATCACTTCCTGTTTCTCTGCTTCTCCTGGAGAAAATAATTGAGTTTTATTAGACAGAGTTTTGAGGATTTTTTTCCCATTGTAAGAAAGTAAGAATTTATGAGAAATGCTATGCATGTATACAAAATACATACATATATACAACTATATACAGAAGATATGTACATATACACAAACATGTAGATACAAAAACAGATACATGTGTATGATTTATATATATACATATATATAAAATAGTTGAGTTACTTGAAGTGAAGGAGATGTGGTCTAAGTCTTACCCATTTAACTCTAACATCTTAGAGACATATGCTAGTCCCCTGGCAAACCATTCATTAGCCCTTAGATCATAAGGACTTTGCAAATGAGATGCTAAGTTTTTAGTACAGCTAAAAACCTCCAGAGAAAATACTCTTTAAATGTTCTGGTTTTCGCTTTGTTGTTTGGTCTGTGTATACACACATGCACACATATTATGACTTGAACTCAGGACCTCACATTCTGAGCTTTTACTGTCCATGCCTAGCACTCTACCACTTGAGCCACATCTATCCATCTTTTTAATAATTATCTTGAGATAAGAGTCTTACGGACTTTTTCTGCCTGGTTTTGCCTCAAAACACAATCCTGAGATCTGAGCCTCCTGCGCAGCTAGGGTAACAATTGTGACCAACCTATGCTTCTTTGGTCTTTTGAAACAGTGTAGCTCAGATTGAACTCAAAATCATAACCCTCCTGTATCCAAGTACTTGGATTATATGTATCTATCACCATATCTGTCTCTAGGATCTTGTTTAACTCAAATTTTCTTTTCTGAATCTTTCTCAGTGTAGGGACAAATGAGGCGAAAAACAAAAGCACAATTTGAACCTATGCTACATAGAATAAGAATCTCTATCTTCTTAAAGGAAAAAAATGGCAATTTCTACAGCTTCAACTGCTTAGTATTCCACTGATGAAGAGGAAAGAGGCAATATAAAAATAGCTGTTGAAGAACGTCTGGTGTTTGTTCTAGTCTCACATTGTCCCTGTGGGAATCCATGTCTTTGCTGTGACTCTTTCATGCCTACCCCAGCAGGACTTGAATTTTCTTCTCTCTCACACATTAGGTAAGAGGATAAGAAAGCAGCCTCCAACTGAGGACAAGGTTGTTTTCTCTGACTCCAGAGGTTGGGGGAAAGAACCAGAGAGAATACACATGTTGAGGGAAGTTGAATCTTGGTTTCCTGGCTTCTGAAGTCTTACACAAATCTCTGGATTCTGATACCAGGGTGATTACTTTTCAGTCAAGCCAGAGGTATCACATCTGCTAGAGATAACACACACACATACACACACAGTACACACACACACACACACACACACACACATACATATGCATACATGTGACTATCCATTCTTTTCACCTACCATTTTCAGTCTCTTTGGTGATGGTGCTGAAAGTGCCTACATGTTCTGGGGAAAAAGAAAATAAGAAATTAGTTCTCACACTGCTTCTGTCAATCTATAGGTTCCCTGTGGAAACCCAGCATTGATTGGGGAAATTTCTCCGTGAAATAAGAAAATGGAAGTGGAATGAACTAGTTCGTAGTCATAGTCAATATCTGTAGGTTAATATATTTTGAGTCCACACAAACTGTGGACAAGAGTACAGATTTAAAGAAACCATAATGTAAGTAGTCCTCTACATATTTCTTGACACTACTTCTATCTATCCCCATTAGTACTGGACTATATATATAAATACACACACACACACACACACACACACACACACACACAAAATTTTTTTCTCCTTTTCTTATTTCTTCAGGAAGCCTCTATTCCTTGTCCTTGTACTTCCTTACACAATTCAACTTATTCTCAGTATACTTCTTTCTTGTGTTTCTTAATTAGGCTAATCTCTTCTCTGTGGTCCATTTACTCACCCTCCAATAGCTGTGCCTTTTAATCACTGTTTGTTCCCTTTTAATAAAGATATCACTTTTGAGGCTCATATTTTTTTAACCAGAAAAATCATAAGGACTTCTTATTACTTTATCTTGAAGTTCTCTTCAATTTGGGGAAGTCTTTGCTTCCTAGCTTAGGATGACCTATCCAACAGTCAATTTCATAATTTCTAGACCTCTCAACTCTTCATGACTTGTATGCTAACTCCAGTTCTATCAACTCCCCCCCCCCCATAATCCATCTTAGAAATACAAAATCTAATAGTAACTTCCTATCTTTTCAGTGTTCTGTTACTCTTTATTCAAAAATAATATTATTCTCCCCCATTATACCTCTAGTTCCTGAAATCTTCTACATTTTTTCCAACACTCTAGTTCCATCCTCTCTGCTCTACAATTAATAGCTAGGTCAGACTCCATTGGGGCACTAGCTTACCAATAGTACTAAAATCACCTGCTGATATGCTGAGAACACACTATTATGTGATCACAGGTTTAGAGATCACACAATTAGGAAGATTAGTATTGTTTGTATATACCTTCAACTGAACCCTTAGTGCTTCCTGGAAATATTATTCCTATGACTCTATAGACTTCATCATAAAGGAAACAGAGACCACAGGATAAAAACCCCTCTATCAGCCAAGACTTCCTCCAAATGTGCACAATGATTCACCTCTTTTTATCTCTTCTCCCTTCTTACAGTAGAATTACCTTTGTCCAGACTTATACTAATCTTTTCCCTTAACTCTAGTTCTCATCCTTTGCTACTTTATCAGCAGCTTTGTTCCAACAGTTAGTTCTTTCCTCCCTACTTCCTTCAACTCTTTCTTGTGATTGTCTTGTTAGCAAAAGGGATTAGACTATGGAATTAGACCATAGTGAGATATATGCAAACAGAAAACCAAATAGATTAAAGTTTATGGGATGGATGATTGTTATAGGGAGATATGGGCTACACTTATACAAGTACCCCAATGATATACATTGATAGGTCTCATATTTTGCATGGCTCATATTTGAGATGAGTCATTATAGTATATGAAAACATATTCTTATCTGAAATCTATAGACCTTGATGATATATCAACTGAATTATGTAACTTATATTCTCTAGGACTGATAAAATATAGTCTGTCTATAAAGCGTCTAGACTCCCAGCTACTTTCTCTATCCCTTGGTCAGACTCTTAAGGGCCTGGATCTCCTCTGTCACATCCCATTGGTGTTGCAATTCTTGTAAACATTACTTTGATTGAAAACGGAGGGATAAAAGGACTTATTAGCATGACTATAAGAGTAGCCAGTAGAAGTCACATTCTTATATTACAGAATGCTAGAGAACAAAACTAATAATACAGGAAATCATCATGTACAATTGTTTGTTCCTTCCCTGGGGTAAAAAGCAGAGTTATATTTTCTACCCTAGTTTACTAAGTCTATTTGAATAGCTGAAGACATTTTCATATTCTCTACTCTTTTGATAAAATGTCACTAGTTGACAACCTCAAAACATTCACTTTAATAGTACCATTTTTCAAAGCATAAGATATTCTAAAACACATAAAAAAGGCTCTACATCAGTGGTTCATGTCTGGAATCTTAGCTACTGAGGAAGCTGAGATCTAAGGACTGTAGTTTACAGCCAGCCAGGATAGGAAAGTCTGTGAGATTCATATTATCAATTAACCACCAAAAATCTGGAAGTGGAGCTGTGTCTCAAGTGGTAGAGAGCCAGCTTTGAACAAAAAGAATTTTGGGGACAATGCTCAGGCCTGGAGTTCAAGCTCTAGTGCATGCAAACACACACACACACACACACACACACACACACATCTATAGAAAGAAAAATGATGAAAAATAACCTTTCATTCCTGTGGGTTCCAGAAAAGGTCCTTCATGAGAAGAAGAAAATGTTAGGGGCTGGACTTTGGTCAAGTAGATCAAAAAGTGAGACACTTAATTGTTTAACAACCTAAAGACACAAAAGTCAATGCAGCCTATCCTTCTATTTGTTTGGTGAAAAACAAAGGTGAGTGATAAAACATTTACCTGGTTATTTCATCACCATAAAAATTAAGAAAAAAAAATCCATCCTTAGAACCAATTCTGTCTGGAATAAGCAATAGTTGAAGGTCGATATCTGTTTCTAGCCTTTGATGGACAGAAGAAAAAATAACCTTTCACAACCTTCACAAATCCAATTAATTAAGAGGTAACCATTAGAAATAATTACAAAAAAAAATGTTAAAAAGATGCATTAAGGGCTGGGAACATAGCTCAGAGGTAGAATGCACACTTAACATGATTAGGTACTAAGTTCAATCACCAGCACTAAAATAAAATCAAGGGATTCATAACTCCTAGCTTCCCACACAGTATTGAGGGGGAAGGTGTGGACGTGCTGGTGTGGTTAACCGAGGGGGGCATGATATTGCCTTCCTGCCTTCTGGCCCTTGAGCAGGGAGAAAGGCACAGGAGGAGAGGGAAGCAGAGACAGCCTACTCTACTCTAGGTGAAAGCAGAGGATCATATGCTCAATATTGTCTCTATGTCCTGGGTCAGTAAGTGCCTTTGCAGGGAGGAGTTGGGTAGTGTCTGTATTTCCATACATCAATGTGTGGCATAAAGCAAGCTCCATTCCTATACTACCCACTGGCAGCTCTAGATCTCCCTCCCTTCCTCATCCCACTGGGATGTCATGCTCATAAAGGGTTTCTATTAAAAAAGGACTCAAAGGCCAGGTGTTGTGGCTCACATTTGTAATCCTAGCTATTCAGGAGGCTGAGATTTGAGGTCCATGGTTGAAAGCCAACCCTGGCAGGAAAATTCATGAGACTCTTAACTCTTATAAACTATTCAGAAAAAGAGCCAAAAATAGAGATGTGGCTCAGTGGTATAGCACTAGCCTTCAGCAAAAAGAAGTTTGGGTGCAGCATCTAGGCCCTCAGTTCAAGCTCCAGCACTCAGACAAAAATTGAGAAAAAAATTAAGAAAGGGGAGTTCATGAGCAATAGTCTTAATGTACTTTAAATAATAAATTTATAGATAAATTAAATAGAAAGTGTGTAGACCTGCACCAGGCATAGAGCCTAAGCAGTTTTAGATTAGGTCAAGCCTTGGGAGGTCAAAAGGTATCAAAGTATTCTGGAGATGGACAGGTTTCCGGAGGCCAAGTGAGAAATATTGCTGGAGAAATGCCTGGGGAAGGGACATACTTTGTGCATCTGGTTCTTCTGGGATCAGAGGAGAGGTGCAAGAGGTTTCTTGGGATTATAGGCTAAAGTGTTAGAAGATGACCCATCTTAGGGAGTTAAGGCCTTACCTTTTTGAGGCAAGACAGTAAAGAGTGTCTCCATGCCAGCATGGACATGGTCAGTCACATGGCAATGCATCAGCCATGTCCCAGGATTGCTGGCAACCATCTCCACGACTTCAAAGGTACCTGGAAACAAGTCTACAACATCTGCCCGGTAACTCTGTCCATTCTGCAAGAGAGATTAGGAGTAAGGAAGGAACTGGATTTAAGAGAACCTTACATCTCATAAGTTGGAGGAAATAAAAGTCTCTAATTTCACATTAGGGACATAGGATTCCAAAATTCCTAGAACAGAGAATAGCTTTAAAAGCCCATTATATTCATCTCTCCTAGGATCCACCCACACAAACTAAATCAACAGAAGACTCTCTTCTACTGTTTCTTAAAGTGCCACAAAGTGCAAAAGCTTTTCAATTTCTTTTAGAAGACTCCAAACTAGTTTTTCCATAACTTTCAACTGGCGGAAATCTCGAGAATTTGACTTATGCTCTGACCTCTATGAAGTTGCTTCATGATGCTTTTAGAAATGAATTCAATGAGGTTTCTCCCCATTGTCATGAACATTATAAACACTTTTAGATCTCAAGGTCTTGAAGGGAAATCTTCAAAATACATGGATAATTCTATGTAGCTCCTGAAATAAAACTCTTCTTCTGATGGATTAGGAACTTTCAGTGATTCTGTGATGTTATTTCAAAATTTCTTGCTCCTAGGATCACACAACTCATTGAGTTGCAAGTCCTTGACAGAGACCCATAATGTCAATTTCTTCTATGTCCTTTCCTTATTAATGAGCTATTCTCTTCAATATTACAGGGGAAAGCTAAGCTGTTGAAGAATATGGCCGATTCTGGAATAATCAGATGAGACTCACAGATCCATGCTCCATATACTAGGCCTCTGCTCTTCTAACTGATTATTATCTTTTTCCTTGCTATTCCCTTCATCCTCAGTGGCTGCCATGGCACTCTTGCCATCACCCCCTCTTCTGCTCACCCGATAGAGGAAGCTCTCTGCATGGAAGTGGACAGTGTGTATGTCAGTATCTTGGCCCATGGCCAGCATATACCAGGCCACTTGTTCTCCTTGGTGCATGGTAAGCCCCTTGAGGTTGGCATAGACTTTCCCATTGATGGCTGTAAAAGAAAAAATTCTCTTTTATCTCTCAAATCTCCCTTGGACACCCCTTTGTCCCTGTCCTAGGGTCTAGTCCTTATAATTGGATGACAGCAATAGGCTCCTAATTCACATCATCTTTAATCCATCTACTACTCTCCAATCTACTGTTCACATTGATGTGATCTCTGTAAATAACTAATCCTACTATTCTTCTACTTAAAATATTGTAATAGATCCCTCCATCCTCCAAAAGGAAACTAATGGATCTGGAGCTGAACATAATAGTCCTCAAAACAGAGTCCCAAACTAGCTTCTCAGAGTTATTGCCCACTACCCCAAGACATTTACTCCAAGTAGTGTCATTTCTCACCATCCTTCACATGACCCATGCATGTCCGTTGTGTCCTTATATTCCTGAGTTTCCCTCCTTGCTTCTTTTAGTCATAGAAAAATTCCTTGATCTCTTAAGCTCTTCTCAATACCCCCATTCCTTACATTCCCATACATTTCTGAAATCCTGTGTACTATCTCTCTGACTCTTCTACATTTAGCTACTTTTAAGATATAAAAATATTTTAAAGTAAGGTGCCAGTGGCTCACTCCTGTAATCCTAGCTACTCAGGAGGCTGAAATCTGAGGATTGTAGTTCAAAGCTAACCCAGGCAGGAAAGTCTGTGAGACTCTTATCTCCAAATTAATTAACAAAAAGATGGGAGAGGAACTGTGGTTCAAGTGGTAGAGCTAGCCTTAGGCAAAAACAGCTCTGGAATGGCATCTAGGTCCTGAGTTTGAGCCCTAGGACTGGCACAAAAAAATGCTTCATTCCCCCAACTAGACTATTACTAGCAAGCAGGAAATGAACGGAAGGAAGCTAAATGCAAGGATGCTACAGAATTATCAGATACCATAGATTACAATAAATTTTTAGCTTGACACGACACATTCATGTAATTAATAATATTAATGCATGGACCTCATCCTCTCTCTTTCCAAATTGCATTCCATGCTCCAAAGACACCCAACTATTCTATGTTATATTAATTTGCACTGGTAGGACTTTGCCCAGAATAATTCCCTCCCACATCCCATGTTCTCACAGAGGGAAGGTAATATTTACTTTTCTCCTCATGAGGGGAATAATGGAAGGAACATTTATGGTCTGTCTCTATGTCTAGGCCCACCAAATTGGAAATTTGGGAGAAAGAACTAAACTGGTTTACCTCAGCCCATTCTAGAGCTTTTCTCTCCATGACAAGTCTGATCACAGAAAGGGATGCAAATTGATTCACTATTTCCTTTTTGGACAAAATGATGCTGCTGTTGAAGGAGGAGAGCTATTGTCCATCTACGTCAATGATATGTAGAAAATCAATCTACTGCCAGGGAAGTAGCAGCAAGCCCATTTACTTGTAGAACTAAAATTCAGTTTTCTAATTATCCTTCTCTGTAATTAAAAAACTCACACTTGATCTGAAGCAAATTTTTTTTTCTAGTTCAGGAATCCAGAAAGGAAGAAAATAATATTATTTGTTTAACCCTTTGGAGACATTATTTGACTTTGTATCTGCAGTGTTAGCATTCAGAAAATATCCATAAATATCTACTAGATAGACAGGTAGTTAGAGTCATACCTGAAGAATCTGGATTAATGGACACATAAACAGATAAAAGTGGGCATCAGTCAAACTCCGGTATTAGCACAGTCTACCTGTGCCCCATTTTCCCCTTTGTCCTCAGCCATTTATTTCTCAGATTTGACAGGAACTAACAAGTTCACTTTGTGAAGTTTATGAATCATCAGTGCTAATGTGAATCACTCATGTTTTCATCAAGAGGAAATAGCTAAAATCTGTAGGACAATGAGATACTACTTTTGAGTTCCATTAGAGTCATTATCAAAGCTGCACCTCACTCACATCAAAGAAATCTTGGACTAGAAGGTATGATAAGAGATCACTTCATACATTCCATTGCATTTAAGTCCTCCTTCTTATTTAAGACTTTCTCTTATTTGTGAAAAGCTACACAGATCTCTAGAGCAAAGGAAGGCTTTGGTGAACAATTTTCCTCCCAAAAATTACATTCAAGAATCAAAAAGGATCTTCCTTGTACATAGCATAAACCCAGTGTGCTATTCCCGATTATCTCTTCTCAATTATCCCATCCATAAATGGAAACTTTGAAAAGCAGACTAAAAGACTAGCTAGCCTTCACCTGTCTATACTGAGAAAGCAGATCCCTAAATCCAAATGGTAATAAAACAGCACGATATGAAGAGATTAAACCCTGAATTTTCAAACAGAGAGACCCCAAGAAGCCAGCTCATAAGATACAAAGAGAGTCATAAATGTCCATCTTGCCTTCTCTAATATGTTAAAATTTGCTCATGTCACCATGGCAACTTTAGAATTACCTTCCTCTTTCCTCAGCACCGGATCTAATCTGGATTATATATCCATTTTTTATGTGAAAATGTACAATAGTTAAAGATTTCTTCTAATTTGTCTCCATTATATCTTCCAATCTTCCTATCTTTTCTGGATCTATACCCCCTTAAACAGTGATGGGCCTATTTGGTAGCCACCTGCAACCAGTGAAATTTGTTTGGGTTAGGGGTAACTTTATTTCTACAGACCATGCATTTTATTGCTCTCCAAGAAAGTCTCGTCCTGTAGGTTAAGAAGTCCTGGCTCCTGGGGTCCATAAGTTGCCACATTCTCCTCCAGATACCACGACTGGTTCTCATCAAAGATCAAAAATAACAAAGCAAATTCCTGATCCATATCACTTCGTACTCCATGGGGATCCAGGGTGCCCTTTCGGCAGATGGCCAAGGGTCCCACAAGGCCACTATACATGTCCTAAATGAGGAATGAAGAAAGAGAAAGAGATGGAGTTAGTCCTGTGTGGAAGTGATCTGCAGGGAGTTGGCCCACCTAATTCCACTGTGCTCCTTAGCAGTACATCATAAAAGCACCTTGCTATGTTAATTCATTCTCACAACCATTTGGGAGATATCTTCTATTGAATATATGCTTTAGCTAATTTGAACTAGCTTTATGTTTTTGTTTTGTTGCTCATGGGGCTTGAACTCAGGGCCTGGGCACCGTCCCAGAGCATTTTCACTCAAGGGTAACATGCTATCACTTTGAGCCACTGCACTACTTCTGGTTTTCTGGTGATTATTTGGATATAACTGTTTCATGCAGTTCCTGTCTGTTGCTTTCAAACCACAATCCTCAGATCTCAGCTTCCTAAGTCACTAGCATTACAGGCAGGAGCCATAGGTACCCAGCTTTGAACTAATTTTTAAGAAATAAATTTAGCCAGGTGCCAGTGGCTCACACCTATGGCCTTAGCTATGCACAGGTTAAGATCTGAGAATCATGATTTAAAGCCACCTTGGGTAAGAAAGTCTTATTTCCAATTAGCCAGCAAAAGGCCCAAAGTGGAATTGTGACTCAAGTAGTAGAATATTAGCTTTGAGTGGAAAAAAGTAAGAAAAGCACAGGGCTCTGAGTTCAAGTTCCAGTACTGGAACACACACACACACACACACACACACACACACACACACACACACACACACACACAATTTATTTTTTATTACTTTATTCCTTAAAATGTGACACAGGTGTGCATGCTAGTAGAAAAATTCAAACAGGACGTAAATAAAAAAGATCCCAAGTAACAGCTTCATCTCCCATCTCCAATGGTAGATGCTTCTTGTTCAGTTTTCAAAAATAATAGATATAAAGGTATGTATACACATACAATGGGGTAATTTATTTCATCTCTATGTAATTAATAAAGATCTTAAAGGTTGTTATCCCTTGTTTATATGTATGGAGTCAACTCACTATTCTGAACAGTTTTATGATATCCATTTGGATGTACTATCAATGGCATATGCCTTAGATAGGCCCATAAGGTTTTCCCCACTTTTTTGCTCTAATGAATCTAAAAAACATCTATAGTGAATATACTTCTACATATCCATATAGATTTGTATGACAAATTCTTAAATTATATTTTTTACTCAAAATATGTTACAGAATAGGGGCTGGGAAGGTAGCTCAATGGTAGAGTGCTTGCCTTGCATGCACGAGGCCCTGGGTTCGATTCCTCAGCACCACATAAGCAGAAAAAAACCAGAAGTGGCGCTGTGACTCAAGTGGTAGAGTACTAGCCTTGCGTTAAAGACCTGAGGGACAGCGCCCAGGCCCAGAGTTCAGGCCCCACCACTGACAAATACATACATACATACATATGTGTGTGTGTGTGTGTGTGTGTGTTACAAAATAGAGAATTCTAGTCTCATTTAATTATTTCAACTGAAAGCTACTCAAAAAATGCAACTGCTCAAAGAAAAATGAATAAGAACTAAGTGCTATCATCTGTCACAAATTCAATACTAAAATGTCCTTTTCAAAAACCACAAGTTTGGGGTACTTTTTCAGGGGACGTGGATAGTGAACAATGTTGGAAGGTCAGAAAAAAAGGATAGGATAATTTCCATGATTGGAGTTATGCGCACTCATTAAGACTTCTTGGAGGACTAGAAGGAAGAGAGCTGAATTTGGGTAAGAATGGTTGAAATGCATTGTAAGTATTTGTACAAATGTCACAATGAAGTGCCTTCTTGTATAACTAATGTGTGCTAATTTGAAAAATAAAAAGGATTATAAGAGAGAAAAAACAGTAATCTAATCCAGAACTAAGAATATAGCTCAATGGCAAAGCACTTGCCTAGCATTTTAAGACTCATCTCAGAATTTACAAGACAAAATGAATAATCTTCTAAACTTCTGTCTTCCTTAAGGCTTTCTGTCCTCTGATACCTCTACTGCATGTTGACATAAAGTAACTGGAATTGTGGGGGGGGGGGGGAGGGGCAGTCATTGCTGAGAAAAATTCCCTCATGCAAATCTGAGACTTATTGAGAAAAACTCCCTCATGCAATTCTGAAACTTATTCGTCAAGGGTTTCTCTGGAGCTTTTTGATCCTTTCCTCTAGCACAGTTGTCTTTTGGTTCTTCTTTAGTTAGCACAATCAACATATTTTTTCCAAGTTCAAAAAGTTCTCATTAGCATTGTTTCTAGGGTATTTGAAACAATCCTTGGTGCAAAATTCCACTGCTTTTATGATTACGTCTTCATCATGGTTCTCCATTGCATCTGTCATTTCTATTAGTGATGGTGTTCTCACTATCACTTGGTTGGCAAGTAATCTAACTTGTGGCACCATCTGTTTTTGGTCCTCTGGAAACATACCCTAAGATGTAAAGTTACATGTAGAAGGTTTTTGGCACTGGATGCTGGTGGTTTCATGCCTGTAAACCCAACTACTCATGAGACTGAAATCAGCGGATTGCAGTTTGAAGCCAACCTGTGTAGAAATGCCTGAGAGACTCCATTTCCAAAATAATAAGCAGGAATCAAGTCTTGATCTGGTGATGATCATTCTGAGGTTTTAGTCCATCATGGCAGGGAAGATGTAGTAAAACACAGTGGCTCACATCATGGTGGCCAGGAAGTATAGAGCAAGGTTGAACTACTCACTTATTTTCAAATCCAGTAAGCACTTACAAAACTCAATACTCTTTTATTCTATTTCTTCTCCCTGCAATGTTCTCCTATCCACCATATCCCATATCTAATTTCAAGGCCCAAAATGCATGTTCCTTCCAATCTAATAGAATCTCCACTTCCCTTTTACTCATTAGTCCATACTCTTTGAAATTAGGAAATGCATCTTACATTTTCAACATCTAAAGTACCAAGTAAAATGACCAGTATAGAGTACATATTCAATAAATGATTGTGAACGGCATGCTATGCATGAATGGCTAAATAGATAAAGCCATTTTCCAGATGAGGAAACAGAGGTAGAACAAATTTCCTAAAATGACTCCAAAGACAAATACCCACATTTGGAACTAGAACTCCAGCTTCCAGGCAACAATACCTAGGGTTTTTTTGAATGCTAATGTATTTGTTTAATATGATTAAAAAAAGAAGAGATGAGAAAGGAAATTCTCAGGACAAATATCTGGTGCTAGCCGTTATGTTCACCTCCCCCCTCCCCCTTCCTAGTAAAGTAAATTCAACATTTGAGGATTTTCTCTCCAAACACCATGCTATATGTTTAAGGGCTTACTTCTTCCTATATCTGTTTTTTTCCATGTAGTTTTCCCATTTCTCAGACTTATATCTAGGTAGTCAATGTTGTCTTTACCTTAATGGGATCCACTGAAGAATAATAGATCCAGGAAACACAAGCAGAGTCGTTAGGTCCAGGACCAGATCTCTCTGGAACGTTCCACTGGTAAATAAGCACTTCACCTAGAACAAGTAAAAAATGGAATTCAATTTGGACCAGGTCAGAAATTTCTCTCAACTTGTAGGTCTCTTGAAACTTCTGTAATGGGTCAGATAGCTCTTAATGTCTCCCATATCAGTCTCCACTTTATCTTGGTAATTGTTGTTGTTTTTTCCCTCATGGAATACCCTCAATACTCTCTGCTACTCTTCCAATTCTTAAAAGCCTAGGTGCAGTCCTTTGGTAAGGCAGCACTGCTGGTGTTTACCCTGTTTAAAATTCTGCACCATTTTTATAGCTGTGTTTTGGTCTACTTTTTTAGCAAACCATTTCAGTGAGACTCTCCATCCATCCCCTATGCCTTTATTTCTATGCTCTTTCTATGAAAGCTTCTAGTCACTTTTGTGACATAAATTATGATCTATGTCTTGATAAATCTTAAATGCTTCTAGCAAAACTCCCTTGATAATAAACCCCAACTCAAAATTTTCAGTTAGATGCTAGGCACAATTTGAAGATTGTCTTGATAGCAGCTCAAACCCTGAAATTGTTGGGCAGGGAGTCTAGTGCAGTGAGATAGTGCTTAACAGGTATGAGCACACACACATACAGACAAAACATCTTATTTCTCAAACTGTACCTTCTGTGTTTAGAAATAACATCATTCTCCCACACTGAAACTTTTAGTCTTCTTATACTCTCATCCATTCAACATCCAACCAAAAAGAAAGTCTTATTGATCCCCTCTCTATACACTATATTTTATAGACATCCTCTTCTCTGTGCAATTCCCACTGCTACTGCCCTAGTTTAGACTTTTCTCAACTAGTTACAAAACCTCTTAAGGCTCTCTGCCTTCAGCCTTGTCCTTTCCAATCCAGCCTCCAATCACTTCCAGATTATTTTATAATAGCTTTCTTGAGAAATAGTTCACATGTTATATAATTTATAAATTGCAAACTGCCCTAATTTAATCATTACACATTGCATACATGTATTGGAGTACCACACTATAACCCATCAATATGCACAATTAACATATTTAATTGAAATCCCTTTATACAACTCCTTAACAAAAACTAAATAAATTATAATAAACAAGCAAATTAAAAATATTACCTGGAAAAATAAGAAAATAAAGTGCAAAATTCAATGGTTTAGTATGTTCACAAAATTTTATAGCCAGCACCATAATCTATATTAGAATGACTCACCACCATGAAAATGTCTCACTTTATCTACCACTCAAAGACAACTACTCATGTATTCACGCTCATTCTAAACTTTTGATACAAATTGAATTATATACTATGTTATATTTTCTTAGTAGTTTTCGTCTGCTTTATGTTTCCATGGTTCACTCTTGTTGTAGCACATATTGGTACATTTTTTGAGACAGTCTCCCTATGGAGTACAAATCAGCCTGAAATTCACAATTTTCCTGCCTCTGCCTCATGAGTTCTGGGATTACAGATATGTACCTGCACTACTCCCAACTGTATATCAGTACCTAACTGCTTTTTATTGCTAAAGAATATCTATTTTAGGAACATATTTTATTCATCCATTCATCAGTTGGACACTTTGTCATTTCTACTTTGAGATAATTGTGTGTCTCTAGATTAAAAGCCTAACTCCACACCAAAAATATAGCCATCAACATTTATGTACAAGTTTTTGTGTTAATTCATGTTTTCAATTCTTTTTGGCTTATATGTTGGATAGTATTACTACCTTATAAAGCATATCTTACAATTAATCACTTAAGGAACTGTCAGTTTCCCAAAGTAGCTGTCATTTTGTATTCCCATAAACAGTATCTTATGATAACTAGTTACAGTGTTCTTGTCTTAATTTTAGCCATTCTAGAGTGTGATACATATTGTCTTGTTTTGAGTTTGATTTGCTTTTCTCTGGTGAGTAATGTGTTGAGTATCTTCTCTTTTAAATATCTGCTTTGGAGAAATAAGTATTCAAATCATTTGCTTATTCTTAACTTGACTATATGGAGACTTTTGATAACAAAATAATAAATAATTCTCAAAACAACAAAATGAAAAAATTCAATTAAAATGAGTCAAACTCTAATCAAATATTTTATTAAAGATGTATAAGAGCCAGGTTTCAGTGGCTCATATCTGTTATCCTATTTACTCAGGAGATTAAGATCTGAGGATTGTGGTTTGAAGCCAGTCTGGGCATACGAATTCAAGAGACTCTTAACTACACACACACACAGAGAGAGAGAGAGAGAGAGAGAGAGAGAGAGAGAGAGAGAGAGAGAGAGAGAGAGAGAAAGAGAGAGAGAGAAATGGAACTGTGTCTCAAGTAGTAGAGCACCAGCCTTAAGTAAAAAAGCTAAGAGACAGCACTAGGGTCCTGAGTTCAAGCTCCATAACCAGAATAAACAAATAAAGAAAAATCACATGTAAGGTATTCGTCCTCAGTATCTACTGTGAAAATGCAAATCATAACACAATGCTAGATAGGGGTATGGCTTAAATAATAGAATGTTTACCAACAATTACAGGGCCCTGAGTCCAAAAAAAAAAAAAACAATCCAAAATGAGCTCAGTGGGAGAGTGCTTTCTAGATGCATGTTACCCTAGGTTAAGCCCCAGCACTGCTACCCCCCTAGACCCATACATGCGATATCATTGTTTATGTATTGCTAATAAGCCCTCCAGGTAATTCTTATGCTCAGTGGTATGAGAATGCCACTAAACTCCTTAGATTATTTTACAGTCTACCTCTTCTCCTGTTAAAAAAAGGGCATGTTAAATATAGCTGCTCAACCCTGTGGACTACAGCTCCTTTAAATTTATTTCCAGTCATAGCTATGTTGTCTTTCCTGTTATTTCATTAGTTCCATATCACATTCCCCTTGGTGAAAATTCAAACTCTCAGCACACTCATCATGCCCATCTGTTCATATATCTTCACCCTCAAAGAGTAACTTCATCTAGAAACTCACAAAATAATATTGGCAAATGCTTGTAAACAATGCATTTATTTCTTTAATCTGAAAGATCCCTGTGAACAGAATGCTGGTGGTTCACACCTCTAATCCTAGGTACTCAGGAGACTAAGATCTAAAGGATCGTGATTTGGAGCCAGTTTGGGCAGAAACGTCCATGAAATTCCATCACAAAAATAGCCAAAAGCAAGACTGAAGGTGTTGCTTAAATGGTAGAATACCAGTTGAACAACATCAGGCCCTGAGATCAAATCTCAGTATTACCTTCATCCAAATCCCTATGAAATAGATATTAATTCCATTGTATAGCGGAATGTAACTAAAGCTCATGAATAACTAAATTATTTTCAGTGATACATGTTTAATGGTAACTCCTTTGTACAACTACTTAAAGATGAAAATATAATTAAAAAGTAATACAGTATAGCTGAAATCTGAAATTAAACAGCCTAACTCCAGAATTCCTGCCATTGCTATTTGTACTAGTTACATTTTTTTAATTTTAATTTTTTTATTGTGAAAATACTGTATAGAAGGGTTACAATTACATGAGCCAGATAATGAGTACATTTTTTTTATCAAGCATTGTAGGCTCCTCCTTTGTTTCCCCTTCCCATCTAGTTACATTTTTTTGCCTCTGACAAAATGTATGATATCAACACTTGAAAAAGGAAAGATTTATTTGGTCTCATGGTTTTAGTGATGTCAGTTCACAGTAACAATGAGGGTTTGGTGGATTGGGGTAGCTCACATCATGGTGGCCAGAATATACAGGAGAAAATGTCTAATCTGGGAGCTTTCACCTTGTTTCTTTTTGTTCCTTTCTTATTGTTATTGTAAAGGTGATAAGCAGAGGGGCTACAGTTAAAAAGTCATATAAAGAGTTCATTTCGCTTAACATCATCTTATATGGTCATATATACATAGCTTTTGACCTTCCCTGCATCTTGTATATACACTTTTCTAATTTAGGGAGGGGAAGGGAAAAAACCAAAATGCTCAGATAGGGATACAGGTTGACCCATTGTAACAATGAGATGTACAAGACACTATGTGGAAAATGAATTTGGGGGAGAGGGAGGAGGTGGGGAGGTGGGAAGGAAGGGATGATAGGGGAAAAAACAAAGGAGGAGGTAACAATGCTCCATAGGAAATGTACTCATTTTCTTACTCATGTAACTGTAACCCCTCTGTATACTATTTTTACAATAAAAATATTTAAAAATTTACTTTAAAATACCTTCAAAAATGATTACTGAATAAAATATTTCTTCTCAAGAGAAAAAAGTACATTTCTTTTTTGACAATGTCACCCCTTCTCTCCTTTTCTCCCCATTTTCCCTCCTGTCCTCACCCACAAGTTTTATAGTTCATTTTCAATATAGTGTCTAGTGAGTATCACAGTTCCATTTGTTTTGTTTCCCTTTTATTTCATCTGTGCCTAAATGATGGCACATTTCATCCTCCTTAGGAACTTATCTCTGGAAATGCTCTCTCATACATTGAAGTTTGCTATACTAACTTCCTAAAAATTCTCAGTCCAATCAAGTTGACTAATCAAGATTAGCCATCTTACTACCAACTCTAAGGGTTCTCATTCTTTCGTCTTCTATATTCATATCCAACAAGCCCTCTATCTTCAGAAGGAGAAAGAAGGATTCTGTTCTAGCTCAAGGCTCTACTATGTTTAGGTCAGTTGTTTTGTGTATGTGACGGAGTGCTGTGCCCTTGTGTGGAGTTTCTGTTCAGGATTACCACTTGAGCCACAGCTCTAGTTGTGCCTTTTTGCTGGTTAATTAGAGGTAAGAGTCTCACAAACTTTCCTGCCTGGGCTTGCTTCAAACCATGATCCTTATATCTCAGCCTTCTGAGAAACTAGGATTACAGGATTCTAGAACAGCTCTTAATTCTACTTCATCTTATGTCCTGCCAGACTCAGATTCCGTCTCCCACCTGGAACTTTAATCTGTGCTCTGTGGGTTCTTCTATCCATTCAGTGACAGGAAACCTTTATTCTTCCAAAGATTATTTGGCATGTAACCTTAG